ATGTGTTGTTCGAGAAGACTGGGAAGAGTGTTGCTGATGTTTGAATGAATGAGATTTGCGATTTCAGTGGGTAGCTGATCTCGGAGTTCGCAAGCAATTAAACTAAGGCAGATTAAGATCTTTCATGTTAAAAGAGCACTTGAGATGCTGAGATTTGAATGAATGCCTCACTAGCCAGCTACTTACCGAATTTGATGTAGCTCACATAACTGAATTGATAGTAGAGGTAACGAAATCTCGTCCTTCAACGTATCCGCCTCCTTGAGGAGCGCCCATGCTATCTTCTTTCCGGTCCCAATGATCAATCTCCGAACCGCTCTCCCAGTTGGTTGTTTCCCAAGATCAGATCCATATCGTGAGATTATCTTCTGTGTGAACTTGTCCACCGGCTTTTGAACGAGATTGAGTTGAGACTTGATGAACGTGAGATCATCAGGAGTAAGAGTAACGGCATTGAAATCACGCAGGCGTTTCAATGTACCATGCAAGCCCTGAAGAAAATCAAGGCTGCTCTGATAGCTATCCGAGGCACCACCAGCACTTCTTAGTGATTCACATACTGTCCAAAGCACTCCAATTGCGGCAGCAAGATCTCCAGCGGACCAGCCAAAGGCGGCCATGTGTGATAGTCATAATGAAGGAAGAAATAAAACAATTCTGAATGTGGGCAATTTACTACATAAGAATGACCAGAAATCAGTGCAGCAGATAATCCCATATGCAGCACTTGCTACTAGGTATGCAGAAGCGGAAGGTTGCATCAGCGGGCGGCTGTAAACGCATACATGATAGGTATTGGATGAAAATGAGTGGTTTTTTCAGGGGTAACAACAACATGTTTCAGTCTCTGCCAATCGTTGATTAAATTAGCCCATGTGAACCATGGAAAATTGCCTTCAAGGCATATTTTCGTAAGCTTATGCTGCTATTCCATTCTCTATTTCTGGTACAGCTATGAATTATAAAGCAGAGGCAAACGAGGACTTTGCTCATTTTTAGAAGCACGGCTATTTGAACTGTTACCACGTGATGTACTGACCGCCATAATGCCTAATATTCTGCCATCTACCAAAGATAGTGCCGAGATACAGCTTTCATCCCCTCCTCCAGCCCGAAGCCCATCTTCATCTTCGTCTCCCACCTTCTCCACACAATTACCTCGCATCAAAGCACCATCAAAATGGAGGTAGCCAAGAATCCTATAGTCGACATTGTGAGGCTGGCTCCTCCCAATGGTGACCCGCCTATGTATGTGGAATTAATAGATAAAATATTTATCGAAGATCAACCCTCACCAGAGCTGCGTGTGGAACTCTTGACACTTCTCGAAGACCTTTTGCAAAATAAGGGACTCGCAGATATTATAGGCTGGGATCTTGTGCCTACGTTACTTGATGTTCCGGGCTCAGAATCTTGCTTAATCACGATTGCACGGCTTGCCAATCCTCGCGAAGTTATAATATCGGTCCTGGCGGAATTGAAAAGGCTAGACCTAGATGGAATTGAAGATGACTGGCATGGGGAAGAAGCTGGAGTAGAAGATCAGAACAAAACAGCGATATCGAACGACCTCGATCGATTCTGTTTCATACTTAGCCTTCTTTCCATCATTCACCCTCGAATCAAAACCAAACATCCTTCACGCTTTTTAGCAACTACCATTCATGCCATTGTGCAAGCGTTCCATCCTTCACACCGAGCTGTCATGGCGATTGGCAAGTTTGCGCACATAGTCTCTGGCAAGAAGCGACCTACATTACCGGGACGAAAGTCTAGTCTTAGTATCGCAAGCGTTATGCGCCCAGAGATAGAATCAAATTTGCCTCCGGCACCCGACCCAGAAGCACAAGAAGAAGATACGTACGAATCTGCCATACAAAAGAAGCTTCTGCAAGGACTCGTAACGCATATGTTGGAAATGTACATCGATGTTTATCCTCTAGAATGGGCTGGGAGATTACAGGAATCCTTTGATCCAAAAAGAGTTGTAGCAGGTAGAACGAGCTTGGCAGAGGCATTCCAAACCACGCCCGAGTATCAAACTCGAGAAACGGTTGCTGGTCAGCTTGTGGTAAGTGCTTAAACTGTGTGGTTGATGTTTCATTTCTAATTCATCTAGTCTCTTTCTCGCGATCTCGAATTGGCCAATTACGATCTTTTGTTCGATACTATCCATTCAAAAGAACCCATTGCACATGCTCCAAATCCCGAAGATGATCTACCGGACTCGCCTGAGGATATCCCACTTTCCCCTGTTGGCTGCCTATTCCTTCTTACTTCTCTCATATTCTCATCCGTCATGTTCAAGTCAAAGACACCAGAACCAGTCATGTCTATATTCCCTGATCATGCCAAATTGGTTGCCCGATTTTTTGAGTCTGCGGCTGCCTCATCTGTTGCCATTGTTGATGCAGTAGTTGCAATTGGGTTATGGTTAGAACATTCTAATAAATTTGTATCTGGGGAGTTCAAAGACAATGACTATATGGCACATCTAAGGGCTTTATCATTATGGTCTGCCACAAACCCTTCTCCTGGCCTCCGTTATTGTACTCACAAACTAACCTCTGCCATCCTACATGCCCATCCTGTGGATGCCATGAGGTTGACTTTCATCTCGAAGACACTGAAGGGATCTTCGGATGAAATTGGCGCAACAGCACTCAAGGCATCTGCAATTACGTGGCTCAAGGAAGAGTTAATTACAGCTCACGAGAGGAAGACGCAAACACTTTTCTCTACCACCTCTGCACTTTTGGAGACACAATCCCAGATCTTCCCAAATCTTTCGTCGCTTGTCGACAAATCTGATGAAGAATTGAGTGATGAATTGATAGAGTCATTCCCAGTCCACATGGCCGCACTCAATTTTCTATTTTTCGTCACAGGAGAGCAATATACAAATATCATTCCTCCCGGAATGATGTCGCGAGTCGAGAGCGAATATCTAACTCCATTGAAGACTGCTCAAGAAAGTGCATTGAAGTCTTTGGCCTCGGTCAACGATATAGGAGCTCCACACATGGAATTTGAATTATTGGGCGAACAGATCTCAATGTGTTTTTCGAAACTCCATGAAAAATGATTGATGAATGACGAGTTATGATCAATGAATACAGGTAAATGAAAGAGACGATAGACATACTTTCTTGTACCGTGGTTCATCTAACGTCTTTTGCGAAGGTTTGGAGTATGAATACCTGGAATATATGATTGCGAATTGTTTGTGTATTTACGGTAAAATGAAAACATAAGACTATGAGGCTGTTTGAGGGATGTGCATCCTTTTGTGATAGTGACGGTCAATGATTGGCTCAGGCATGTTGGATTTTAATGGTCTCATTCGGTCTTAACCCAGAAGCAATTAGATACTTTGAATAGAAATTTTCCACCGTCGATTGCTAGGTATGTTTGCGTGAAATGTCACTTGTATGTTTTCACTTATCAATTTACTGGGTACGCAAATTGGATCGTTCTTGATGAAAGTCGAATTTGAACTATTTGGATCATTTGGAGCATTCGCATCATGCAGGTCATTGATTTAATTGAGCGCGCTCCACCAAGCATGGTGAAGTTTCATGATCCAAAACGACGGTATACATTCCAGTCAAATGCCGAAGTAAATTTTGTATATACAAATAATAAAGTTCAAGTATATACAACAAATAAATATCCGTATCCCCTTCCTCTTTCTCCCCTCCATTATCTTAGATCCGACGGTTTAAAGTCTAGATGCTAGCAAAAGTCGACAAACTAGATCTAGCAACTCCCTTGGAATCGAAAAGGATAGCATCAGAACAACTGCTTCCCAAAGCCGCATTATTGATCCACGCAGGTTCCCAATAGAAAAGTCCCACTCCACCACTAACTCCCGCGACTATTGCCGCAACATCCTTGATCCAGGTTGTTTGGCCCGCAGCACTAAATGGAATCGATTTTGCATCGGATGGGAAAGTGTAGGCAGGGGATGGACATGCGTATGGCCAGTTGGTTTCGGCGACTACGAGTTGTTTACCCCATGTGGAAGCCATGTTTGTTAAGGAGGTCTTGAGACTTGCGAGGGTGGCGGCGGAGCTGTAGAATGGATAGTAGGATACGCCCATCATGTCGAAATCTGTGGTTAGGAGAGGACCTGCTGCAAGAACGGTTTGGTAGAAGTATTGTTGTTCGCTCCAGGAGTAGCCGTTGTCGAGGTGGATCATGATCTTGGGTATGGTGGTAAGAGTTGAGTCCTTGATACCGGCGGAGGCGGAGTGGAGGAGACTGGCAATGTTGTAGTAGGAAGATGTGGTGCCGATAGGCCAGAGAAGTCCAGCGCGGATCTCATTTCCAATGGAGATTATTGAGGGAGTAATGCCAGCACTGGCAAAGGCATCCGAGACTGCCAAAGTATAATTATAAACTTCCCATGCAAGGTTTCCGACGGTATCGGTAGGCCAGCCAGAAGGGATCGCCTGGTGAGAAGAAGTTAGTCTTGATGCTCGAGGAAATGGTATGAGTAGCAGATTTGTTTACCTGATGACTTGGATCGGCCCATGTATCACTGAAATGTAAATCGAGGTAGATGCTCAATCCAGCAGCCTTGGCACGTTTTGCAAGAGCCAAGTTGTAGGCCAAATTGTATTGGCCACTGGAAGGGTTGACCCATATTCTTTGTCTCACAGTGTTGACACCTGAAGCTTTCAGAATAGTCTCGAGGGCTTGTGTAGTGCCAGCGGTATTTTTGTAGGTGTAACCACTCTGCTCCTCAACAGTGACGGACGACCAGTCGACTCCTTTGTAAGTAAGAGCAGCGAAGACTTGTGGCGCAAAGGCCAATACGGAATAGAAAAACTTCATGATTGAGAATGTGCAGAAAGAAGTGGATGCAAAAGAATGTAGAAGGATATCCTTTCTTCTTTCATGGGAGATCTCTCCAGAAGATATATAAACTGAGCTTCAAGTGATCACTATTTAGCCGACTTGATCAACATTTCCGTAGCCGAAGTACACTTGCGGTAATGAACAGGACGCTCTCGAATGTGCGTAGTGGATATTTGCGTCTCCACACCGAGGGCGGTACCGTCATTAGTCTGTGAGATGGATTGACAGGGAAGCAGGTTCAAGAATGGCCTCCGGAGAACGCTCAATCCAGTCCAGTTCCCAATCCCGTATGTCAGGCAGGTGTGGTACTACGGCATTTTATCCTTTGAAAGGTGATTGTTCATCTGACTTCTCCCTGAGCAGCATACCTAGTCCTTCATCTGACTGATTTGTGGCTTCAATGTAACGGCGTTCATCTTCTGACCTGGCGCTCTCCTCGACACTCGTTGAGGGGTATTACTACATTACAGTATTATCCATGACTACTAGGTCCAAAAGATTTCATTTAACTCAAACTCCTGTGTTTGTGGAAGACGGTTCCAGATCTATTCATGTTCCACCAAGGCGGAGTGGCCAAGTTTTCCAGCTAGGAAGTCATTCTGACAGGAATGTGAACCATAAAAATCTGGGGAAACTTCAACATGGGTTGTACTCCCATCCCATCAATTAGAAACGACAATAACAAGACGAAACGTGTTTGCCCCACAAAGTTCATAAGCCGTGCAAGGATTATTGTTGCCTTATGCGTGAGTCGGAGAAAGTTTCTTACCCCCTTGATTTTACTTGCCTTTTGTTTTCGGTTGCATACTTCCTTCTTTATTCTTTTCTTTCTTTCCATTCATTTTTTTCTTCTTCCAATTCTGTCCGCCATCGTTCAGTAAGTCAGCATAATAATGCGCGCGAATGGATGATTTCTCCAAAAATTATCAGATCGGATCCCGAGAAGATCAGATGACGGTCTAATTCTTTTGCTAGATCAGTCGGCTCCAGACATTCCCCCGTCTTCACGTAGGAGGTATGGCAACGGAAATTTTATTTTCCATTTCGAAATTCTAAACAAGGAATCAAAGAAACTAAAAGTCTTCCAAAAGTTTACACATCACGAGGGTTTCCACTTGATCCCTTTCCCGCTCTCCCGAGGTACCGATTGTCTATCCCACTCTTGCACTCTTCAATCTTGTTTGCCAGTCGCGCCAGTAAACGCTCCCACTCGGCCAAGAATAGCCCGGACGTCATCGATGCATTGCTACTTTGGGATTTAACTTTCCAATAATATTTATTGGCGTCTACCAAAAGCTTGGTGGTGATCGATGGTCAGGTGTCAGGTACCATCTTCCACAGGAGTTCCTCCGAGATGTACCAGAAGCCATATTCGGTGTCCTCCGGTCCGAGCCGCCATCAGCATGGTCCACACAAAGTTGGTGATTGGGATTGGACAAGGCGCTACATCCTTCCCATAGAAATAGCTGTATAGTTATGCCAGCTCTGAAAACCTCATAGCACATTGGTTTTCTGGCAATTTCCTGGGGTCGTATCTCATTATCTCAAATTCCCATATCATGAAAACTGAATCGATTTCTAGCCCGTGATTCTGGGTTCCAAATATCAGTAGCTCGAATACTTTGATAATCCCCTTTCCAAATATTTCAAAGATAAATCATGCTTCAATGCTAAACTATACTGAAAACGTCAGAGGCGGGCTGATGAACTATCCATTGGAATGTTGTCAATTCATCCAAGTACGATTGAAAAATGAAACAAAGACTTCTCTTTAATGACTGTTCCCACTTGGTGGCTTCGTGAACAATCAAAGGGATTCCCCCCCTATGTTGTTCAGAATGAGTTCCCTAACAGAGAGTGCTTAAGGTAGTTGAGGAATTACACAATCACATCTATCATAATCAACGCAATAACAATACTGAAGGAAATCATCAACATAAACTCAAAATGGAGGAAGTAATTGAAAAATTGACAAAAGAGAGGGATTATTACGACGCTATGGCTAAATACAACATGGAAGATATTATAAGACTCGCAGGGGAACGCGACATACTGTCAGAGGAGTTACGTAAATTTCGCGTACAATCTTCTTCTCCTAGAAAGGCATTGGGACAATTTAGCAACATCTGGGATGATAGTTTGTGGGACAGTGATAGTTTCAATAGATTTGAATTGTTGAGGGCGGATATTTTCAGCTGGAGTAAGAGAGAAGTAAAAGAGCTCTCTCATTTAGATGATATCCAGGACCGCGACCGTGAATTATTTTTCGGAGAAGCAGCGAAAGTAGTCCTTCTGGATGGATCGGATAAGCAGGAATTTCCAAACAGTCTTCGGGGACGTCGTAGAACATTGCTACATGTTCTTGGCGCTCTGCTTACCCATCATTTATATGCGACTGTCTTTTCCGATCCTTTCTTCTTCTTGGGTGAAGAAACATCACAAATCCTCAATGATATCATGTCGTTGGGCAACAGTTGTAGGTTTTTTCGATTCAATTGTTGATTACATAAAATTAATCATGCATAGGGAATCTGGGTCATGCCCAACGTTGGCGTGGGGACACCTTAAGACTGATCCATCCACTACATAAGACTCCAGATGAAACAATGGTCAAATCAGAAACAAATAAGCTGTTGCGCAACGCAGCAGTCTCCGGAGCCACAAAATTTATGCGGAGTCCCGCGAAATATATTATGAACAATAACCCGGATGCACTCCAGGGACTTGAGGGTTTGTATATCAAGGCCGCTGAGCACGCGTACCTAATTTGGTGTAGGAGACCAATGATAAAGCTCCTTGACTCCACTAGCTTCTTGGGCCAGCCATATGATCCTCACAATAGCGAAATGGTATTACACCGTACGGTCGCTAGCGGTGGCGGTATCGAGCCACAGGGACAGCCAATATCTTTGGTTACATCGCCTGCGATCCTAAGATATGGGCTTCGCGTGGCAGATGATGGTATATATGAAGAGAGATGGTGGCATGAGGTGTACGGGTATCAACGTGCATGTGTGTGGGTTCATCTTCCTAGGCCTGAGGAACTTGACAGTGATGAGGAAGACTTCACACCAATGGCTCTGTCTCCCCCACCCGAACAATTGAAAGACTTGAAGCCAGTAACTTTTCCTCGCCGAAGTGATTTGAGCGTAGAAGATCTAGGTGAAAGAATGCTTAAGCGTTTCGATAGAGTGACTTTGCTTGACCTCGTCAAACCCTACCTAGACGACCTCGCTGAACAGCTAAGGCCTGTGCTAGAAGGGCTACGCGAGGAAATAGCGCAACGAATTGAAGAGCGCGACGAAATGGAAAAGCAAAGAGACGAGTTCAGAAGCAAGTACCGCGAGGCTCTTCAATCAATAGAGCGCCTCAAATCTGGGATGTGATTTAACTGTCAATTACAAAATGTATTGCCCGTTGATATCTGGATGTCAGTCCAACAATTTGGGTGTTTCTTTTTTGTCATGTTCTAAATTGGTATTCCCAATACCATGTTCCAATTTTGTTCATTCCTCGGTTTTTTTCAAGGGGCACGTTTGTGCAATGCTTATTATCAATTGAGCGAACGATAATCATGTACACAGCCGAATAAATACTCATCAATACTATTGAGTATAGGGTTACTGATAGATAAACAATAATTATGATTGTTTTATGTCGTTTTTCAAAGTTGAAATCATTATTAATTGATATTAGTTTGATATGATTCAGGTAATATTTCGACTATATATTGCTCCTTGTTTCATTGAAAATGCCTGCAGTTGATGTCAGCTTGATATTAGTTGTCATGTTTAGATTATATGGTCTCATCTACTTCATATATCATCTCATGTGCTAAGTGCTTACGGATATTCTGATAATTGTAAAGTTAAGCAGAGGTAATATATCCTACTCTTTGCCCAGTCCTGATATTCGCGTCCTAACGGTCAATTCAGATCCGTATCCTTACCGAAAAGATAGCTAGAATAAGCCAGCCGATACACAGGCAGTTGTTGTCGTTCTTAGGACAAAGCACGATAATTTATTCGCAATTGAAACGAGTGATACACGGAGACACACAATTGAAATGTTTCTCATTCTTCATTGTTGACGTTGACTAAAATCAAAAACTGAAAACCCAAATTCTATTCAAAGCATCTGCACTCAAACTCTTGAAACCTCGCTCGTTTGCTATCTCCTTCTCATTATCAATCTCGACAATCTAGGACTATTGATGATGATTCTACCATCGGCACTTCAATGTTCAGGAAATTTGATAGTGGTGTCGGATACCACTCGACCACCAACAGCGAGCCGGAATTTCAGATTGGCTCCTCTGTCACGAAATATAACTTGGATCTGAAAATGGAATTCATGAACCATCTTGTCAAGGCGCTGATTGAATCTGGAATTGCTGTCCATGCCAAAGTTGAAATCTGCGGGGAAGCTGTAAGGTATTCTGCCAACGCTCTTGGCGCCTGTTTTACCGATTAGTATCGTGGACTCTGTCAAGTCAATATATATCTAGTAAGGGGCCATGAACTTACGTGGATCGTCCATCCTATTAGGCTGTTGATCTCCTTCGCATGAATAAAGTTCAATCGTGGACTTTACAGGCTTTCCAGGGTTGTAGGGGGACGAACAACCTTCTGAATGGAACGATCTCTCAACTATCACATCGCCCTATAAGAATTAGAATTACTGTCATCGTATGTATTTTGAGAGCCTTCTTACTTTTGAAACACACCATATTGCTCGGCCTGCACAATACTTTTGATTTGAGTAGTCATCGATGTATGAGTACTTTTCCTCATCGATAAATTCCCGGAAGACACGGCTGATTCGGAAACCGTAATGCCGACGAACATACTTAATGCAAGGCGCAAGTTCTTCCAGCGCTCGAATTCCCGCACCTCTTAAAACTGCGAGCTCACTATTTAACAGATTAGATGCATTGAGCCACCAGAGTATCAAGATACTCACAGGTTCACAGGGCATAGAAGCTCGATGTTTCCATTTGAAACACACCACAACAATAACTTGCTGTATAGATACTTCGAAGCTCCCATTCCACCCACAAGAGCTATGCGCTTCATGGGAGTTAGACAATTAAACTGATTACCTAGATGTGACAAGATCAAGTAGAAACTTACATGAATTTTTGCTTTCCTTTGGTACTTTGCTTGGTCGACCTGCTTTCGAACTAGTTTGATTACTCGATCGACGATTGGATCGAACACGGATTTCATGTCTTCACTGAGAAGATGTCAGAAGCTTGCGATAATGTATGCACAAGACCGCCAAGTCTAATCCTTACTCATAGTCTGAGCTTGAAGTGGAAAACTATAACGATAGGGATTCACGCTTGCAAATCGGGGTCGACTTACGGTGATAGGAAGATAACATTATCTTCTCTGTCATATTGATGCGAGCTTGGTAGATCGAGGTACAGCGGACCTAGTTCTACGGTGCCAGCTTCCTCCATGTTGCGACCGAAGCCTTTCTTAAGCACCTCCCAATTGTTCATCAGAACGCTTCCCGGACCCTTTCTCGAATATGGGATGCTGTCGAAATCATTGCCGAAATGATCAGATAAGAGATCGTGGAGGTGACGATCAATGTAGGTAGAGCCACATTTTCCACCTACGATGTCAATATTTAGCTGTGCATTTGCTGTGAAGTAGATGCCATCCCTTGTACAAGAGACGGCCTAAATGAACAAATGACCTGTCCAGTGAGTGCATGTACTGACCTGTTCCAATGCAAAGTTCTTCAAAAGTCAACTTCGGCGCAACCGAAGTGACTGTGTATGTGGTAATATCGACAGTTCCTCCCCCACAATCGCATATCAAGACATTATCACCGCGCTAGAAATTTAATCAACATGTAATTAACCATTTGAAATGCTGCAATAGCTTACCTGCACAGCATTGAGAGTTCCTGGTGCAGCAAGCTCTTTCAAAGTTGCAATCGCTGCCGCTTCCGGTTCCACAATTGTGTGTACCTGATCCATTGGATTTGTTGCAAATCCAGCCTTCCTGGCAGCGTTCAAGGTAGCATGCTTTGCCTCATCAGACCAGATGGCTGGCAAAGTAATCCAGCAGTCTATTGGTGACATTTTGAAGACGTCTGTGCCAAGCGTCCTTTCTGCATACCCAGCAAATTCAACATACAACGCATGGAGAAAGTCCTCACAGACACCATTGCAGTTCCGATGTGATGGCAAGTGCATCATTCCTTCATCGATGACTGTCTTTGAGATTATATCGTCGTCCTCGCCAAAGATAGAACTCTTGTCCAGAAGGAGCTTCGTCCAAGAACATGACGTCTGTTTTGGGTCCACGTCAAAGCCCCATTGGTCTGATTTTAGTCTCGGATTTTCTCTCGCGTATGCAATCCTGGATGGGACCTTCTTCATTTCGGTTTTGTGATCGGCGTGCAAATACAGAATTTTAAGTTCATCGCTATTTTTCTGAGTGCTAAGGACATAAATAATGCCTAGACATGTATGAGCAAGGAGGGAAGAATCTGGTCGTGATACACACCTGAAAAAGTAGTTCCATAATCTATGGCAACAATGATTTTATGACGTGGCGGTAAGCCTGTAGCAACTGCTTTGTTGGGACCCGAAATATTACTCGAAATTTGGGATGACATTATGTGAGTCTTGCGCTGGCGTTGGTATTGCGTTGATATGGTAGTTCAGGATGTCTGATGCACTCATTTCTGGGGGGATTGAGAGCAAACTTATTAATTTATACCGACGCGTAAATTTTCCACAAATGATTGATCTGGCATATTTAAAAACAGAGAGTTCCAGAGCTTGCCACGCACAGGGGAATATCTCTGAAGGCCGCATACTATGAAACAATTTTACTGCTACCTTGACTGTCGGCGAAAATTTCACACAACCCGTCGAATTGTATCGGTAATCCTAATTTGAAAGGAACTGTACTGAAATAGTCTGATTGCCATAAACGCTACACTTGTTCCTCAAGTTTTTCACTTAAAAGAGGAAATCGCAAAATATGGGACTTCAAGCTAGTTTTCACCATTTCATCTTCAAACTGAAGAGTGAAAATCGAAAAGATTACATTTACCCCAAATGGAGGAAGATATCATGCCATGAAAAGCGACAGAACAGTTCTTGGTCGTTCAGGAAATCCTCAATTTCTAGCAGGGCGCGACTGATGACCGCCCGCTTCAAACTCCACACTACCTGTCCTTCCAAATACAGAATTAAGGATGGAGAACTTTCCGTGGCAGATCATGTAGAAGATTTGTGCGTTGGGTTCACAGAGGCAATGGGTCCTTGTTCAGAAGTTCCTTCGGATAAAACTTCCCCGTATCAGACCACATCTTCGATCTCTACGAACTCAGGAAACAGGCCTCCTGCACCTGTATCCATGGGTCATGGTTCCTCGCCATTCGTTGAGGTTGACAGGCATACAAGCGTTGGAAAATGCGACTCTATCATGGCGGATGTCCGTTCTATACATGCTACACATTCCGGCAAGCCTCAAGGAAATTTGCCATCTACCCTGAATTCTCAAATCACTCCCCAATCATCCCCCACCAATAACGTCATGGATCAAAATAGGGTCCAAACTTCACCAACAAGCGTTCTACCTAGAGAGCCATTGCCGAACGCGATTTACATTTCAAACTCAACCCGGTCTTATGATTTTCCCATGACTATTGGCCGAACTGTGAAACGATTGGAAGATGAGGTGCACCGGAGTTATGAAGAACTTCGAACATTGAAGAAGGAGATAGCCGGTCTAAGGGACAAAGAGTCAGAATTGCAGCAAAGAAATCAGCGTGATAGAGAAGAATGCAGTAGAGCGGTATGTGCTCTTCAAGAGATGGCCTTCAAGCCATGGAGAGCGGGGCATGGCACCCTGCTGACCATGATGCCGTCGCCCTTGAAATTTTCGCACTCCAGGCAGCAATGAGTGGATGGATACGGGTTGCAACCAGGGGCGACTCTCGGCTCGATAATTTATCTAAGGTATTTCAAGGAGAAGATCAGGCCAAAGACGCATTGAGGGAAGAGCTGTCGAAAGTGATGATCTTCAGAAACGATATGCTGCCTGAAGGACTCCCTCAGAAAAGGGCCAAAAAATTCTTGCTCGAAGCGCTTCTTGCTCACCATGTCTTTACGAATGTTTTCTCGTCGCCATTCTCTTTTCTCGGAGATGAGTCAACGAGCTTGGATTCTATTTATAGAGCGGGATTATCATGTATGCACACTCATTTTCTATTCAACGAGCTAGCTAACGTAGACAGGGAGCGTCGCAGATGCCAACAAATGGCGCTCTGATACACTGAGGCTGTTGTTCCCGGAGGCTTCGGAAAATGATAAAGCTGAGGCTGTCAGACTCAAGATACCACCTTTACTTGATGATAGAGCGAAAATTCAAGCAGATAACTTCTTCAAAAGCCCTGCTCGGTGCTTCTTCGATGCAACCCCAGAGCTAACGGTCGGTCTCCAAAAGATATACCAGCGGGCCGCTGGTCTAGCCTACCATCTCTGGACTCGACGATCAATGCTCAAAATAGTCACGCGCAAGGACTTGAACTCTTTCTTCCACATTCGTGACCGACAGATGGCTCTCCACACTAGCGTGCAAGAAGATATCGAAAATAAGCTAACAGGCCAACTTATTAGTCTGGTGATTTACCCCGGTGTTGTGGCCTATGGCTTGGACGAGTGTGTGGATTATGAAACTCCACGACCGTGGATGCCAGCGAAAGTTTGGTTGCACAAGCCTTTGTCGGAAAAGTCACAAGTACCAGTTGGGCAGGATTCGGCGATGAAAGAATAGGGTAAAATGCTTTGGGATTTTATTAGAGAGTGCACATTTAATGAAAAAGGCTCTGCCCTGAGGGTACTCACTTCTGATTCAGGTTCGGACGAGAGTGGAAATTTGAAATTAGGCATAGGATTATTGTAGCTAGTGTACTTCCCTAAAAAATAAGCTGTGTGCCTGAACCATGCTTTGGAATTTGAAATGACTGAGTACAGGAATATTTGTATGTGGAATTTTGTCTGTTATCAAACAATCGTGTACCTTAAAGGGGGGGCACAATGGCTCTAAAATTACGCATGCAGTCGCATAACCCCAAAATTGATGTCATGCTTTGGGGCCTTTTGATATTAAACGAGTCTGGAGAGAAACAAGAGGGTTCTTACCCATTCAGCAGTGATTGAAAGTAACTAATGAGAAAAAGAGAAAAAGATAACATGATTCTACAAATCAAGCTCTGAACCAGCCTGTATAATGTAAGCCAGAATATACGTAACTACAAAATCCATGAAACTTACTTAATAATATACTGTTCATACCTACTCATCACTAGGAACATCCTCACAGCCCAAAACCATCTACAAGTATGTACAAATCCTTCACATCCTCCATCTCCATCATTTCCATCATTCACACTATTCGCATCCATCCCAGGAACCGAAACTTCCTTTCTTATATCTCCAATTCTAGCACTATATTCATAAATGCATGTATACCCTCAATCAAGCGAACCAGCGCTAGAATCTCTCAAAGGACATTCCAGTACAGTCTCCAACCCCTTCATTATCACCAGCCTCTTCTCATAGCCGCGATAACATTTTCTATGCATCCGTATTCCTCCTGTTCATCTACAATCAAATCGCCATATAAAGCCCAAATCCCACCATTCCACCATCTCTCCAATCCATCATCTCACCACCACAAAATTCCTCCTCTCGCCTTCCTAGCTCCTCAGCTTCAACTACCCGAATACATCTTCAATCCTCATCACTGCACTCTGCTCTCGAAAATATCACTGCGCTCCAGTTTCCGGTCCCCAATCCCCATCACCATGACCGTCGCCGTCGCCATCACCATTCCCATCACAACCAAGCGACCAACCAAGAACCTCCGCCCCTTAACCTACTTATCGACTCACCCACCTACCTATTCACCTAGTCAACTCACCTACATAATTCACCCATTACTCAGCAGTCGAGACCAAACAAACGAAGGATGCTCTATCATTTTCATTTTCATCTTCATCTTCATCTTCCTTCAAAAAGCAAAGGAAAGAAGAAAAAGGAAGAAAAAGGAAGAAAAAGGAAGAAAAAGAAGTGTGAGAGAAAAGAGAGAGAATTTAACAACTCCTACATTTTATTTATCAACTACACACACATACATACATACATACATACATACATACAAATATTTTGCTCCATTTCTAATCCATCCATCCCTCCATCCATGCACCCGATAAATCCTAACCACTCCACTCTAAGAGAAGCGAGTAAATCAATCCATCGTATCGTAAAATACAAACCAATGCCCCTAATATAATCCAAGGACCTCCCTCTTTCCCTCCTAACCGACTAAACTCCTATCTCCCCAGTATCCGAGTACCAAAAGCACGTTACCAAATACACGCGCCAAATAAAAGAAAGCCAAGTAAGAAAAAACAGCCTCAAGATACAGTTACACGGTCCAAATCTATCCATATATCCATATATCCAGTAAACCAAGAATCTAGAATCTAGAATCTAACCCCCGCGCCACTTCTCGTCCCCGCTACTTTTCCCTTAACATCCCAAGCCCAATTCTTCCCCTTAGCAGCATCGAATGCCCTACCCACTCTCAAGGCATCACTAACCATTATCGGTTCTTCCAATAAATGAGCATATGTATGATACGGCACGGAATTATTGCTTGAAACCTTCGGTTTCGTTGGTGCATCTTTTTCCTTTAATTTTCTCTTCTCCTTTATGATGTCTTTGAGCTCTTGATCGTCAGCAGTGATTTGTGCTTTGAGGAACATCAAGTCTGTAGATTTCTGAAGGGATTCCATGACTGGGATACGGTGTTCGTAGGCAATGTCAGAGAGATTTGGAGGGTCTGTGGAGATGATGGATGGGTCGAGATGAGCGGTGGGTTGAAGAAGAAGTTGTTGGATATCTATCGATTCGCCATGAGGTATTGCAGTCTTATGTGAAGGTGTGATGCAATCCATGTCGACTTCTTTTCTTAAAACGCGATCAATATCGACTGCGGAAAAATAGGCGCAGGACTGTGGTAGATCGTTAATTCCCATTTGTTGGGAAAACATAGCTCGAGTCCAGAGATTCGATACTTGTAATGCTAACGCAGCACGATATTTATCTTCCTCTTTAACTAAATATCTGATTTCATCATGAACAGTTATAGCTAGACGGGCATTAATATTGTAGAGACGAATGATGTAATCCATGGAAATGATGAGAAGGTGCAAATAATCTACACCGGAGGATTGAATTGCCCAATTGATACGTGATGTCATAAAACCACCTTTGGAAACGAAACATGCCATCAGGGCTTCTGTTATTCCTGCACCTAGAACCGGAGTGCGTGGCCTTTCTTGCTCTGCAAATTCTTCCAACTTGTTGAAAACAAAACTTTCGGTTCCTCCACGCCAAAAAGGTCCTGGATAAAGAATCTTTCGGCTAGTTTTGACACCTTTGGTAGCCTTATAAAGGTTCCCAGCTGTGTGTGAGGTTTCAGCTTCCGAGAGACTAGGATTGAATTGCCGAAGTAGAGTTGAGGCGAACTTCAAACCAGCTCCATAAATTCGACCATAGTTGAAGACCTTGGCATCATTACGAGTAATACCGAGGATGCCAGCTGTGCGAGAATGGAGATCCGTACCTGCTGCTTTGGTACCCTCTAAAGTCATAAACCCGACAGCATTACCTCCATGCAATTTGAATTGGGCATCTCCAACAAGACTAGCGATCCATAACTCTTCAGAATCCACATCTGCACCAACAAAGCAATAACCAGGTGGAGCCTTTATCATTGACTTTAGTTCTGAACCAACACGGTTCGCTTTGGCATTACTTGCTGTAAGCCATGTGTTTTCCACTGCTCTTCGGGTCACGGTCCCCATGGGAATGATTTGTGGTAAAATATAGCCCATTTCCAATTCGGATTCCGATGTTGCAGGCCCCTTTGCTCCATCTTTCTCATAGACAGTCATTTGAGACTGTATCCGATTTCTTGCACTTATCCAATAAGAACAAGAAGCATTCATCTCAAGGGCTTCCTTTGCATATGAATACTCGGACGAAAGAATACCTTTGTCAAAGTATTGCACATAACTTTTCGCCATCGGATTTCCACATTTAGCCAATGGACCATCCTTGTGCGGGATTTTAAAGTAAGCAGCGGATGTATCGTCTCGCAGAGCCACATCAGCCTCTTCGAATGCATTGCATTCTTGCATTTGTTTCTGTTTATAGTTGTGAGCCTCTTCGATAGGAACTCTAAAAGTCCAGCCATATTTGTCGGACCACACTAATGGATACCCATCCCAAGCCAAACGTAGAAGCAATGGTGCGATTCGAGTACGGACTGATAAATTAATGGGACCAGTAACTTTCGGGTAAAGGTCTTTATACCACTGAGGCATACCAGGCATCTTCTGTCTTTTAGCTGGTCTTGGTGGATCCTTTTTTGTTTTACCCTTCACCATTTTGACCTCTTGAATAGACCAATCGAGTTGTTTTAGCCAAGGGTCATCCTTCCATAACTCAGGATCATCTTTAATCTCTAACGCTTTATTTTTCAAAGCAAGGAGTCGTTCTTGTACTGCATCAGACAACTTGTGATAAGTAGCTTCGGCGTTAGCGACATAAGATTCCCACGACCTATCAATTGGAAGTATAACCGATGAGAGATGTCTCAATGCTGCAAAGCTGACTGGATGTGGGCATGTCTCGACAAAATTGGGAAACACTCTTTTGTAAACTCTATGGGTAATGTCAACATCCGCTGCACAATAATGAAGAAGTTCATCCAATTTCGCCATGATTCCTTCGCGATCACATTCACCAAATGCATCTCTCGCTGCTTTGTCGATTGTGACATTGAGATGAAATTTTGCAACATCTCTCAATGAATTGACGGAGCTTCTGCCTATCCATAACTCCGCCTCTTCCTCTTCCGAAATAGACTTGTGTCCTAGCAAAGCTGCCAATTCCGCACTGTCGGTCTCTCCAGCGATCTTTTCACGTAATTCTCGATCCTTTCGATGTTTCATCCAAGTCGGTCTTTGACGTGAACACATTCCATTGACAGCAACATGTAATGACATAGTATCCAAGAAATAGTTCTTCGATTGATTGATGTCGTATTCCTCGGCTACCCTGGCTCGATCATAACCAATATTATGGCCCACGACAATTCGTGGTTTCTTTGCATCTCCGAGGGGTATCAATTGACGATCATTGTCAGTCTCCCCCAACAGCCATGGCGATAACCAAGAATACCAATTTGTAGGACTAACGGCACACGCCATCACAGCAAATGAACTCTGTTTCCACATCACTTCCGTATCAAAACATAACATTTCTTCATCTGGCGCAAGTATCTTCTCCGGCGTGCCGTCGCCACTATATTTCGTCCATCCACTTTGATGTGACCATTTCAACGGCCGAGGGGGAGTTTCCGTCTTAACAAATTGCTTCGCATATGTCATGTATGGTTCGGAAGCATCTACGCCTAATTTGTAGAAATGCTTATCGAGTGTATCACCTTGTAGCTCGGGAAGATCGAAAGATATTGGAGGAGTATTGTCCGTATTCTTCCCAAGCAGTTCGTGTCTCTGCAGATGATCTTTTGAAAGATCTACGAGCTCCTGAGAGGGAGGCGATTGGATGTCCTTGAATACTTGATCGTATATATGAGTACTTATTTGTTGAATTCCTATCTCATTGTATCGAGGTTGTTCTAGGTCTTCTACTTTTTGCTTAGCGGATGTTTAGATTAATTGATGAAGTTTTATTCTACATACTCGATTGATCTCCTACATTGACCGACACTTGCACTGGCTCTTGTGCCAAACCATGTGCTAATCCACCTGATTCTGTGGCATATGTTCGCCATCGCGCAACAGATATCGAGGTACCTTGAGATTTGTGTGCTTGATATTTTGCAAGACGAAAGAAGCTTGCGCCTGGTCTACTTGCACGACCAAGGCGGAACGAAAGAAGCATAATATGAAAGAAAATCTTATTCAATCATTATCTTGACCACTTTACATACTTTTAGTAGGTAGATAGGTACTGATATCAAAATCTCAAGGAAACACGAAATGAAACGAATTTAGTGACAAGTGACGTCCTTTACAAGCCTCCAAAAGTGTAAGGGCTAATTTTTTTTCTCGGGCGGGGGTGGCCAATTGATGATAAGGATAGGCAAGGCTTTGATGAACAGCCTCGTGTGGCTTTACGAGGCTGATAGGAATTGTTCTCTTACTTCTTATATACCCCAGGTAATTCCCTACAAACACAAGGCTGACAATGCATCAGTCTCTCGCTGACTAATACACCGACAAAAGTTCCTTATCGATAACTCGACAACTTCCAAGCTCCTTTCGCTCCCGAGGATCTCTTCTCTTCTTTATCTGACCAGTTATCCATACTGTAATTACTGAGTACCGGGAGATAAGACAGAAATTCGGGATTTTATTTTATATTCATCGTTAGCCATAACTTTTCCATGGGCAGCAATATTATTCTGCGTCTCTTTCTTTCTTTCCTTCTTTCCTTCTTTCCGTTCGTATGAAACTCTATACTTTCCTTCGGGTTTTGCCATTGCTACTCACTTGATTTTGATAGTGTAACATTCATTAAACTAATAAACGGAATTCATCATAGACACACACACAAGTACAAACACTACTCAGCTATTAATACTGCACAGCGCCCAGTTCTTGCGTGAATTGGATTTGTCGCTCGTCCGAAGTATAAGGGGAAAACAAAACCACCACCTCCACCACCACAACGACAACAACATCGACAGCAAAGCAACCCATTTGATTTCCAACCTCACTCTCCCTCTCCCTCTCCCTCTCCCTCTCCCTCTTCCTCTCGCTGTCACTCATCAGCCTCACGCCAGATCCCTTGAAACTTTGTTGCGGTTAGACGGAATATAGACTACCTACTACTTACCATACTCTACAATTAACTAGATACCTAAGGACGGTACTCGATTCTCCTTTCTATCTTTTGACTTCAGACCTTTCTATACCTATCTTCCTAGGTACTTTCTATACTGTCAATACTCTCTCATTCTATTTCACATCGCACAAAAGTTGGCACATTGATTGGCTTTCATTGTTTATTTTATGTATGAATGAGATGAGAAACTAATATTGTACCGTACTTGAATCTACGGACTGCTCATGCTATCATCTTTCAGTAATTTTACATCCATTCCAAAATGACCTCAGGCTATCCATATCCACCCCATTACCATAACGACAACAACAGAAATCCAAATCCAAATTCGGCATCGACTCCCAACTCAAACTCACACAACCGTTCACTATGGAACAACGAATCTTTGGCTGGTAGAGGAGAGGAAATCGAATCTCTAACTTTGCCTCCAATTAGTCGGCCAAATCCCGAGACTAGATTGGAGCTACCTGCAATATCATCATCACCACTTTTTGTATCGGATTCCCGTACGGGACAAACACAGCCAGAACAATCCTCCCATAGTCTCAATTCAAGGAGCAATGCATCGGCAATGATACTTGGAGCCGTATCCGCTTCTACCGCAACAGCAACAAATTCAAATTCAGAACCTAGTGAAAACAGTACAAAACGCCCTCGGAGCTCATCTCCCCCCGATCTTTTTTCTTTTGATCCTTTCGACGAAACCATCCGGTATCGATCACCACCTCCACTACCACCATCAAACCAAAACTCACGACCATCCTCACAACCAGGAAGAGGGTCTTCCTTTTATGACGACGACGCAGAGGCCTTGACAAATTTCGACTGGGATACCTTTCTTTCGCAAGACAACGAAAACGACGAAGAGATTGACGATCCATTTGCATCGCCACCACAAATGCCTAGTCGAGCTTCTGATAGTTACGGTGTAGTTGATCTTACTGATTCATCACCAGCTATGGTTCCCCCACCAGAAAGACGCAGAGCTCTTAGCGGCACCAGTTTACGCCCAGCTACACTCACTAAACCAAAATCCCCAAAACGACGAAAGTCAGGTCTCTCAAAGTCTACATCTGCGAAACGTCGCAAGCTTTCACCATCACCAACAAAACCCGAGGAAGACGTCGAAGTGGTTGATCTCGCGGAGAATTCAAATTTAGAAGAGTATGAAGCTGCAAAAGCGAAAAGACAAGAAGACTTGATCAAACAACAAAACCAAGATGAAGCAACGAAACCGGTCAAATTGGTGGAGTTCCAGTGTATCATATGTATGGATAATCCGACGGATCTGACGGTAACACATTGTGGTATGTTTTCCACAACGTTATTTTCTAGCACTTCTAATATCATATAGGCCATCTCTTCTGTTCTGAGTGTCTTCACTCAGCATTACACGCAGGGAACAACGGCAGGAAATCATGCCCGGTTTGTCGAACTTCAATTAGCACCACGAGCCTGCCCGGTCGAAAGCCACCTAAGAATGGTACATTTCCTATAGCGATCAAGTTAATGACGGCGAACAAAATGGGAAAGAAACCCAAGAGGAATTGATGGCTTCGTTAAAAGAGGTCTGGGGGTATACTATATCAGGGGTTCATTAAATGGACAGCTTCTGTGAATGGATTCATAGTAAAGATCATGGCGTTATGGGCTGGACTGGGATGGACTGGACTGACAAGATACCACATCTGGAAATTGGGGCTTCAACACTTTGTACAATGGCAAGCTGGGGCGGATCAGATAAATATCACTTCTATGATTTTTGTGTGTGCACAATAGCATTATACGAAGATAGATTGGGGGTAGCTGATAGATCTCACCATATTTATAACACAATGCAATACTTCCTGCATTAAAATACAAGATATCAAGGAAAATATTGCCCTTTTCAGGTTTTGTTTCCGGGACCGATCATTTATTCATGATGCAATAATGCTATTTGGTGCTATCAATTGTGAAGTTAGTGAAAAAGAGCATCACACACAAAGAGCTCTCAATCTGCATACACTCTCATTTCATCATACAGTAGGTTATGTATCGTCTGTGTGATTAACAGCTAGGTGCTGTCTTTATCTGAACACTCAATCTCTCGATGAGGACCTCTAACATGCACCTACCTATACATTGCAAGGAAGCTACATTCATCTGTTTGAAATGACGATATCTAATGCCTCATAATTGGATGCATCAAAACACTCTACAGTAACTAAGTCCTTGAATCCCATATCATTTTCGTTGACTATCATCACATGCTTCTCATCATGACACTACGTCAATTCTATCTACTCTACATGTCATTTGTACCTAAACTAGAGCAACAACATGGTGCAGAGGCAGAGGCACGCATCAAGATTGCGACCCCTCTCTTCGATCTTCATATCATACATACTTGAAACACTCCATCAACTCAACTGCTTAGAACTAGTATACTTTTCATAGATTCTCCAGTCCTCGTGGGTACCCGGGCAAACTGGGGAAATCAACCAACAACCAAATGACTGACGTGGGCAATGAATACTCGTCCAAGTACGGAGTGTTACTCTATGTTTACTTGGGTTACCTCCTCATTTCCACATCTCACGAACTATACCGAGCCAACAGAAGAGCCAACACTTGTGGTGTTCATGTGATGTTCATGTCTTATCATGTATTATCATGTCATGTCAACGCTGGATTCGAGCATCGAGATACCGAGGTTCGGAAGCGTGATAGGAGTTTCGAAACACAGCTACTGATTAGCTTAGCGATGGTGACCATTTGTTGTGTTGGTCGTTCCTTAATCTCGCGAGTCACTTGTACAAGCTCTCGAAGGGGGTCTGGGGTACTTATTCGAATTCTCTTGTTCATTGGCACTCGATGCTGTACGATGTGAGAGTGCGATGAATCCATGATGTACTCCGGAGTCCGTACACACTCTGTAGCATGTACCAGGGGCAAACAAACGGTACGGGGAGCAGTCGATCCGTATCGCAACCATTACGCAGGTTTGCAGCCCGCCTCTCTCACCGTTATTTGAGGGATCCGATGCCATCTCCATAATTAAGCCAAAGCCTAACCGAGCTAACCTAACGAGCCAGCAATAAGCTGCAGCGAAGATTCTTCAGCTGCAGCTAATCAAGCTTCAACATACTTTGTACAGGACCGTACAGGACTAGTCAATAAAGTACAGCAAATTCATGCATTTGGGCGGGTTCTCACCTCGAAACGATGGATAATTTTGTCCATTTACCGGATTTTTCCAATGATGACTCCTCGTTGACTCCTCATTGACTCTTCATTATTATTCACATCACCCAATTCTTACCACCAAACCGGTCAAATGTCAAAATCGAGTTATGTAGGTAAGCAAATTCTCCACTCCAAGGTTTTTTAACGGAGTAGACTCTCGTGTTTCATCGTGAGGCGAGAAGTTTCGCTGGCAAGTTTTCGATGGTTGATCCGCTTACTTTTTGCTTTGCAGAGTCCTTTTTTTGCTTGTGAATTTCATTTGCGGAATGTTGATGATAGGAACCACGTCAGGTGAAAATGGGAACATTCTCAAGCGTCCCCATTCTTATCGAATGAAATCCAAGCCCTGTTTTCCGATGTGAAAAGGAAAAAGAGATGGAGTTGGATATTATTAAAAATGGAATTGTTTAGAATTCTACCGCATTTGTTTGGATACTCGATAAGCTCAATCGTTGTGAAGTGGGAATATGAATATATTCCAGCGCATATCTTTCCTTTTCTTGTGCTTGCAGATTGTTCAAGCTTCATATCTTCATATCTTTGATATTTTTCATATTCAAGTGTGAGAAGTGTGTTCATATATCGTCAGTATTATTACATATTGAAGAGCTGCACGCACTACGCCTTTATATTCTTAACTTTTTCCCTGCATTTCCTTACCGATACTCTTCCCCCCGCCCCCTCGGTTTTATTCTAGCTGCTGGACAGCTTGGTTAGTTGGTTACTTTTGCCACTATCACATTATCAACACCGCTTTTTGGTCTCGTACCTATTTTTAACTTGGCGGAAAGGCGGAAAGGTATTCATGTCCTGTTGTAATATATTCAACTGTCTGCCTTCTTCTTCCAAAGTTCTTCGAAAGTCGAGTGGTAAAGCGAAGCTTTCCAATTCTTCAGATATGAGGAACGACGATAATTTGGCTTATGGTACGATGGATACCGATCAGCCTCAGACTGGTACTGCTACCAGTGAACGAACTGAGAGACCAAAGAATGATAGGAGAAAAGTAAGTTTGGTACCCCTCGTTCACCAATTTTTTACATCACCTCTTCGACTAAACTATCATTTCCGATGCAAATATTAACAGATCACCAGACAACTTACACTTTCCCCATCAAAATCATGCCCTCACCAAAATCTGCAACTACAGCCAGCACCAATCTTACTCCGGAATTCACAGAATTCGATACCCAGGCTTACTACAATGAATCTCTCGATTACAACTACATTTCCTCCCGATTCGCCTTCTCCCTTGGTTTAAAACCAGATGCCGATCGCGAAGCCAAACCACGGTCAAAATCTGTATCGAAACCAAAAATCCCTTTTAAACCAAAGCATCTAGCAAGATCTCAAACCGCACCAGTTGCTGAATTTAAACCCCTTCAAAGATCAAGGACAGAACCGCTTTCACGAAGAATCTTCTCGCCTTTAGGTAGAGAAGGTATTATAGAAGATACACCTCCTTCTACATCTACAACTCCAGCTCTTCCACCTAGAATCCCACCCAGAAGAACTTCCACAACTGCTACTCTCGTACCTTCAAATGCTCAAGCTCCTCCCATTTTCTCTCTCTTGGAACCGACGCCGGAAGCAATCGCAAGATCGAATTTAACTAGTCCATTATTTCCAGATGCTAATCTAAATCCTTTTTCGCCAAGACCGGGAGCCACTTTTGGGGCGATGGTTGTTGACACGCCACCGAGAACACCACAGAGACCTCAAGTATTGCATACACAAACGGAGGGCAATCCTAGCATTTTCGAAGCACTAAACTCACATCCTGTGATACCATCCATTACAAATATTCCGATAATTCAGACTGAAGAACCGGAAGGGATGTCGGAAGAGCCAGAAGGTGCGTCTTCTGAAACGGAACGAGAACGTGATCTCGAAGGAATGGGAACCGGTACTGGAATCGGAATGGGTTTTGGAATAGGAGAAGAAATTCGTGGTCGAGAGATTTCAGATCCAGATTCCATGACGGGTGATCTAACACTTCATTGGAAATCTTCTCCTCTATCACGTTATACCCAACGAACCGTTTTCTGGATTGTTCCCAATGCGAAATTTGATCTCGTGTTTGGACACGATGAAACGGATTTCAATATTCCCATCCAAAACCCACCAAAGTGGGGTTTGAGTAATTGGGGAATTGGACAGGGGAGAGGGAGAAGAGGAGAAAGGAATCAATTCCGAGAGGGAATTAGGAGGGGAGTTCTAAAGCAAGTAGAGGAACAAAGTACCTTTTCGTTACTGTATAGTGCGACGAATTTGATGGATGCGTGGTTGAGACCACCTTATCAAATTAATGGAAGAGCCCATTCGCAACATTCGGATTCAAAGCCGTTGCTCTCGAATGGAGATGAAAGTGGAGGCATTCATGAAATAGCATTTACGTTACCAGAATTGGAATATCAACTCAGGAATGAGTTGAAGTGTACGGATGAACGGAGACGCAAACACGAGGGGAAGAGAGCAGTTAATATCTGGGATGTTAGGGCTGGAAAGGCTGTTTTGGCTGAGCAGGCCAAGGGCGCTAGTGGAGAGATTAGAAAGTTGGTGGGAGCTGTAGTAAAGGATGTTAGGGAGAATGGGGGAAAGAAAGTCGCGGAAAGTGGGAATAAGACTTTGGTTGGGAGAGCTCCTCGTGAGGAACCGGAAGTGGAAACTGCACATGATAAATTTGTTCATGTGGAGATTCCTGTTTCCGCAACTCCTGCTCCCGTTGTCTCGAATGAAGATTTTACAGTGGTCAGCAAACCACAAGCAGAGTCTTCTCCCACTACCTCTCCCCTCCTCCCCGTCGTCGCTCCCCTCCCCAACCCCAAACTTTCGATCTCTCCCCCACCACCGCCAATGATACCGCAAATCAAAGTCCCAGCTCCTCTCTCCGTGTCGAATTCACAGATGCGCAATTGCAAGCACAGATCCAAGCGCAAATGGAACGAGAGATGGAACGTGAAATGGAGCAGGAAATGGAACGTGAAATGCAGGCGCAAATTGAAGCTGAGATGAACGCTCAAGCCCAACCTCAATCTCCATCTCACGACGAGGTAAGAGATGAAGTGAGAGATTTGCCACCAGCGCTTCCTCCCCGTCCTAAGAGATTCGAAAGATCTTCAACTTTTGATTTCGGATCTGTAGACGCAAAGGATGAGCAGCCTAGACGTCTAGCCCGATCCTCAACTTTTGATTCTCCAGCTTCTTTCACAGCTTTGCGAAAATCAGATCGTGATATCCATGCTTCTATCTCGGCGCTTCGTTCGGCTCATAATGACGATGAGGATGACGAGGAAAATGAAGCGATGTCTGAGATTATGGTTTCGCGAATCCCGGTTCGTGAGTTAGTTTTGGAGGAGGAAGTCGAGTTTAGTGTTCTCCCGGATCGAAGTTTCGGGACGCTGAAAGAGAGGTTTGAGATGATGTGGCAGGGAGAGGATGAGAGAGTGCATTCTGAGAGGAAGATCTGGAGAGGGAAGTTTAGAGGGGTTTTGGGAGAGCTGTGTAGAGTTGTTGCGGAGAAGTGAGGTGAGATGGGAAATTGAGAACGAGAGCAAAGGGAAATGAGAGTCGAGAAGGAAGTCGCTCAGTGTGTTTGTGTGTTTGTTATATGAACACGATTCTCTACTCGGTCTGGAATGTTGTGCGGGGCGGGTGGAGAGAGGGGATCCACTTTGACAGCGAAGCTATGAGGATGTGGAATTGTGATGCGGGGGCTTGGCGGATTGGGATAGGATGGGATGGAGTTTCTTTTTTTTGTTTGGTTCTCTTTGCTCATGGATTTGTGGTTGGTTTATACTCCGTGGTTAGCTTTCACTCGCTTTGTTACCCATTTGTTTGTTTGTTTGTTTTTTGCGTGGATGGGTTGGCCTGCTTGGGTTTGCTGAGTTCATACATCTATATATCTATATCATGGGAATTGCGGGATGGGTCTTGAGGAATGGATAGGTGTTTTTTGGTGTTTTTTGGGCTTTGATTGTTTGGTTGTTTGAAAGGGACTTGTGGGTTGCATTGATGGATGGTGGATGGAATGTTTTTCTTTGTTTGATGGAGGGACGGGATGAGATTGATGAAATTGGGATGAGATTGATGATGGGATATGAGATGAGATTGATGAGTTGATATACCTATACCTATAGCTATAGTCTGTATGAGAAATGATATACAAGATTCTATACAACCTTGACACATCTTTACAACTTTGACAACATGTATAAATCGCAAGAAGTGATTGATATCAATGTATGATTTGTATATGTATAACATACATCCATACAAAGTAAGAAGAATTAACAATACTAGGTAAGTAGATAGTCAAAGAATATAAGAAAGAGATCTATCTATCTATCTAGCTATCTCCTTATAAGAAAATATAAGAGGATATGATGATATATCATATATCATATCTCTTTCGAGTATTTATCATCTCCTTGTATTATATCCTCTATGTCCTATGTATCCTCATGTTTTTATGTTTTCTTATATCATATCCTCAACATTCTTTCTATTCTTTCTATTTATTTATTAACAAATTATCTTGAAGTAGTTAATAGAATTTTTCTAATAGTCGATAAGTATATCCACCTCTCTATACATCTATTTTTATCTACATCTACCTACATATACATATCTACATATAGGTATCTAAATCGATATATATATAAATATATCGAAAAACAACATAAACCCCGAAATAACAATCTTAAATAAATAGTAACATTTCATTCCATGTATTGAATTAAACTAAGTTGAGCCAAACCGAACCCTCAACTACCCTTACCTAACATCTTACCTTGTATTCCGAATAATCATCTTGATTCATCATTTCGATCTGGATCTGGACCTGGATCTGGATGTTTGTTTGTGTTTTCGATACCAGTATGAAAACAGAGGGTTTTGATATGGCGGGTTTTGATGTAGCGGGTTTGATTGTAGATGTGTATATTCTAGTATTTTGATATTTTGATATTCATCTTTGTATTCTCGAGCCTCAATCTTCCTCTTCTTCTAATTCCCACTCTGCGCCTAATCGTCACTCTCCGCCTAGTCGTCACTTCAGCTCCTGCTCTCACTCTATATACATCTAGGTAACAAGAAGAAAAGAATGTTCTCGGATAGGTATCCTTAATGTAATTCAATGGCTCTATAATATTTAGATCCCTCATTTACAAACGTATTCTATTCTATTCTCATTAGTAGACCAATCAATAAATAGTAGAATTAAATAGATCCAATTCAATACATCAATGTGATTATTTCATTGCCCTTTTTTAGATTGCTATACTTCTTTTCTTTTATTAAATTACTATAATCTCTTTCTCTTGATTCGTATCCGTATCCGGTCTTTTCTTCTCTATTCTATTCATTGATTCATTAACTCTTGATATATATTACCGAAACGGTTCTTGATCCATATCACCAGAGCAATTTCGTGTATCCTAATAACATAACTATCACAATCACAATCAGAAGTTAGCACGATAAATTCTCTTCTCAATATCCCATTATTTCACTCTCCCCCAAAATAGAAACACAGAACCACACATACCAAAAAAATACACCCCCGCCACACTCGGCAAAACCCCCGCACTCTGCGCGAAGGCAAATCCCGCTTCGGTATTCGATATCCCCGCTAATCCGAGTAATGTGATAGAGAGAATGAAATTGACTGCGCTGCGGAATTTATCTGCACGCGTCATTTGGGGTCGACTGAGAGCGTGGAGGATGTTCATCAGGATGAGGGTTAGGCCAGAGGCGAGGAAGAAGTAGGTGAACTATTTGGGGGGCGTGGGGTTAGTGTGAGGTTTGGGGTACGAAGGAGGGGAGGGTGAAAGGGGAAAGGGGAAAGGGGGGGGGGGGATGATGAGGAGTGGTTATTAGATTGATGAGTAAGGAATAAAGATGTTTGCGTACCACAAGAGCGAGAACTCCAATATTCTCATTCCACTCTTCATTAGGATCTGTAACCGCATTATCACTTTCCGGTGGATCGATTCCGAAATTATCGAATAGAGAATCCTGGACCGTGGAAAACAGCGTCGTAATATTTCCCAATTGTTCTGTGGACCCAAGAGTCGTATTACCAATATTGAATAAAGCGCTTTGGGTATCTGTAAAAGTTTGTGTGAATTCTGGGGGAATTTCTCGAAGATTACTTGAGTGACGTTTGCTAAGCGTGTTTTGAGATCGAGACTATCGACGGCGGGGATTTTCTTGAATTGATCCACGTATTGCTTGCTGACTTGGCTATTGGGGTATTAGTATCTTGGAGAGTCTCGAAGAAATAACAGACTGGTTGCAGAGCTTACCTAATAACCTCGACTACCTTTCGCCATCTGATGAATTGGGCAGCACCCTCAACGAGAAACACCAGTGCCAGATGGAATGGGAAGTGGATAAATGCCCAGATTTGTTGACGTATGGAACCGAATTGGGATCGGTTAAGCCAGTCAAAATAAAGCATGTAGAGGAAGTACTGAAATAGCGTTGTAAGTGATTGTGCATAAATCAGTGAGAGCTTGATACATACAATTATTCCAACAGCTGATACAATAGTAAGAATGAGTGGTGCGGTCCATTTCTCCTCTTGTTCTGCAATCTATAGACAATTAATATTGAATAGCCAAGAACCAAGAAGTTCGACCTACATCTGCAATACTTTTGCTAACTCCAATTATACCTTCACCCACTACAACAGAATTAGTGGCGACTCATCTGAATCTAAACATTATCGACTTACAAATGATCAAAGTAAGTAGAGTCATTCTTTGGACAAGATGAGATCCTCTAAAACTTAAAACCTTCCATTTCGACGATATAGCAATGTTGACTGCAGTCTCTAAGATAGCTGTGACATACCAAACAATGAACACCTTGCCAGTCTTAGATGTTTCTTCTGAGAATCCACTTGAAAATCATTAGCTTATTGACAATTTGAATACTGGAAAACATACAAAAAACTGCCAAAATATATTAATGCAGCTATGACATTGGCCACAACAACAAGAAAAAGTGGCAATTTTGAATTTTTATAATACCAAACATGATACTGAATACTCATTAGTAATGAAAAATTTCTCCCAAAGAACACAAGAAACATACCAATATAACAGAATATTGAAAGCTCAAAATCAGTCGCGAAAACATTAAGATGATTGCCAATGAACGAAAAGCACCAGGCTTTTGATCCGATGAATTAAAGTCCGGTCCTACAATCGCCAATCCAATCATCACACCAAATTGACATGCTTTTCCTATTCTCTCCAATATACTATCCGTAACAAACCTAACATCAAACAGACTAACTTGTAACCATAAGAACCAAAGAATGCAGAAAAACCCCGCATATGACTTCAGTGCATCGATTTCATTGACATCATGTACATCGTTAAACGTAGTCAAATTCGCAACGAAAAAAAGATCATAGAAAAGTTCCATGTTCGTAGTCTCCTCATATCTTCGAAACTCGGGTGTTTCGAACATTTCTTCTTCTGCATCATCTTTTGAAAATGGATCGACTTTCCTATCATCATATTGGTTTTCGATCGATTCATCGTATGATTGCTTTCGAGCAATATTGATAGGACCAGATATCTCATGTATGGGACTCGGAATTGGAGGGGTTATCGAATATTTTCTTCTATTATGAGCCAGTGGATTCTCAAATAACTTTAACTTTGGTTGACATTCTTCGGTTCCTTGATATATAGATCCATGACTATGAGTCTTCTTCAATGGGGTTTGACTAGAGACGGAACTCGATGAAAGATGCCTGTTTGATTCTGTGATTAGCCAAAGAAGATGGACCTCGTGATTTCTTGTTTTTCATCGAAGATATCAGGGAGTTCACCTACCTTTCGTGTGATGACATGATAATTACTCGATGAAAAATAAACCCTAGGATATCACAAAGTACAGATCTCAAGAAACAATACTTATATGATATTCCCCATGGGTGACAACGGATAGAAAAGCTTATTCAAGAGAAGCATCCACGGCAGATAACGCACAGATCACTAGATCCGGGAGCTTCATCAGATCATCCGTGCGAGTTTGATATGTTTTGTTTTACCCTGATTCTGGACCATTGTACGTTCAAGCCATTATAAGCTGATGAGGGTGAAGGGTCTTGTGTGAGAGATAGGGAATGATGCCCGGCTCTTCATCAGATTTTGTAAGACATACGCGGTTGAGTAATGCGGATGCTTATCTTCCGTTGAGGTTACGAACGGCCCCATACACTTGCATGTACAGGAATAGGTCCATAGATCGTGAAAACTTTCACGACATTGGTACGAGTTAATTTGCCTCTTTAATTTTCGTCCAGCAATCATCTCCATGGCATCTCGCCACAGTGTAGTGTCGTCGCCAAGAAAAGCTTCAATCTGATAAAAGTTGAAATTCCCATCATGTCCAACCTGTCTGCAGTTCGAATCAACACACGCCGTTGTTTCAAGACTTACAGGACACTGAGAAAAGGGCCCTAAGCAACCTCCAATACTGTACATGGGCTAGATTTAGAATTGAGGCTTTTCCTTTTGAGACGTGGCTTGGATCAATGAACCTCAAAACGATGTCTGGCGAGTAAGAAATGGGTGCTGATTAACATGTGAATGTAAAGAATGGTTATTTCTGGAAAAGAGGAGCTTCGGTTCTCAGACCTTTCACAAGTTGGACAATGGTCTTCAATTGCATTGGAGCTGTTTTGATATCTTCATCTTTCCACTACCTGGTAATTCGGGTTCATTGTGATTATGTAAGCCATTCTAGCGCAAAATTCCGCCCTGTGATAAACAGAACCCAATTGACCACTACCGAAGCACTTCAACAATTTAATTGTTCCATTTCAATCCGGAGAACTAAAAGTTTAAATAGTATTACACCTGAAGGGTATCCAAGGATTTGCTTAATGTCATTAACTCTTATAATTTTATTTGTGCTCAAGCCCATGGAGACATCGAACTATGGTGACAGTTTACTCAAACACGATACGTCCATTTAGTATTCGAGAATCTGATAATGAACTTCCATACATACCTACTCAACCATTCTCACATTTGATATGTCCGTTCAATGCGATGTTCAAGGTGGTGAGCTATTCAGCCCTTCGAATAGCTATGTTGCCTACTCTCAAAGATCCTTGAATACATGCTATGGAGCGGGACCAGAGAGCAGGTTGTGAAATTCCATTTTATTTGCCTTATTTCTTGCCCTTCTCATTGGAATGCCATGGTACCAATTCCAAAAAAAAGTGTGGTTATATATGATGTTCTTGATGAGAGCGGATGATTGATGTTATTGCTAATACTACTTGGATAGGCTACATACGAAGATTACATGCCCAAAAACTTCAGAAGCACGACTTGATGAGGAAATAATCGCAGTAAATTCAGGGTTAAAGAATAACGTCAAGAGAATTGGACAAAAGGTTTCAAAACGGTGTAGCCTTGATGTTCACCTTTGTTCTGCACGCCAAACTACCTGTTAGGGTAAGCCTTACATCTTCCACCCTCTTATACCAGCCGTTATTCTGAGGATCTGCCTTGGATCCAGTAACTGGATCTTTGTACCAACGCTCAGCAGTGGTGGAATATTCAGTCGTAGGAATCGTCCCGATAATCACTAGCAAAGTAGCAACGTAGCTAGTTCTTGCCGGTGCATTTACAGTCTGCGCAACCGAGAGTTCGACTGTCTTCGTTTGGCTTGTAGAGGAGGTTTCGGTTCGTTCTTAAGAATAATTGACTGCGACAGACCATTGAGTTGAAGCAGAAGCTATCCCTTCAACTCTTACACTGGCTGTCTGGGTCAAGCTTGTTATTATGCCAGTGACGCGTTTATCAGAGGTCTCGACAGTGACAATCTGAGTGGTGGAATTGCGAAGTGTTACGGTGACGGCTTGTGGCTGGGAGGTATCATTTGTTCCGTCGACATGAGAGGTAAGACCTCCCTCGTCCGATGAGTTGGAAGCAGTGACGTTAAAAGGCTTGATAACCTCTTTTACAGGATTAACACTCTGCCACTTGAAAGAGCTTACTACGTCGTTGAGGTGAACGTCCGAAAGTCTAGCTATCTCTTTTGTGGTACCCCAGCCCTTGATATTATCATATGAAATTCCAGTGCCGTCTGCTGCATCGTACAATATAGCCGTCTGTCGATCTTGAAGCGTCTTCTAACGGACTGAACTGACGCTGTCTTGTATCTTCCATTTCAGAATTTAGTGCACAACATTGGCAGGCCACTCGCTGAAAAATATGGTCGAACGTCTACCTTTGAAATCAGAATCTTCAAATACCTCAATGGCTCCCATATTAAGATCAACTTTTCTCCAGAAGAACATCGAAACCTGGTCGTTCAAGCCGACCTGAATGAGATCAGCTGCCTCGGTCTTTCCAGTTCCAACCAGATCAATGCATGTACTTGCATCAGCTAGATCCGGGATGATTCCGCTCGTTTTAATATTAGTAAGTAAAGTCATCACAGTACCGACTGGCATATTATATAAGATCCAAGACGTTTGATCATATTGAAAGAGTGGAATTATATGACGCCGGTTGGGAACATAGTCGCCGAGGATAATGTCAGACCGCAGACTGTTCTATTCTCCCGGGAACAATGCTACGGTACCGCTGGAGATTTGGCGAGGGATTTGAGCGGAGGGTCGTGGTGGTGGGGTGAGAAGATCCACTAATTCGTCGAGAGTAGTAGTAGTTGCCATGATGAAGTCTTCGGTAATATAAGATTGGTGTGTATGAGATGATTTTGCGAGTTGTTGATGATAATCGAAACATTGAGGTAAAATGTGCCTCTAGTATAGTCAGTCATTAACAATTTCACATCTCTCGGTGTCCCACGACCTCGTATTCTTTCTTTTCAGCTGCCTCCAAAAGGGTGGCATTCAACATCAAGGCTTTGAACTCCGTTGTACATTCTCAACAGAAGACCAATCTATGTCACTTTCTTAGACAATCACATCCTTTGCAGTCGACTTTGCATATACAACCAACGTAAAATAAGGTATAGAGCATTTCGACCCCGCTCCACAATATAACCAAATATAACAATACACGAAGCAGGAGATTACACTTCTGGAGATATTCGAGACCGCATTCAGTCAAAATCTCAAACTTTGATCTAATTTCGGACAGTTTCTGCATGACTGAGTTCAAGCCAGAGCAAAGAATTACCAATACAATAAATGATTTACGGTTCAAAACTGTAGGCCCATCAGTAAGTGTACAAACTAACAAGACACTACAAGAATGAACTGGGTAACATCCATTGATATATCGATTCGAAAATATTGATTTTTTTTTACAATGATTTATCAGAGATTGAACAATCAAAAGATAGATTCTGATAACAAATAATTGAAGAATGAATTTGTTAAAAATTTTGAAAGCTGAGAAGTGCCCTGTCAATCCATGCACCCCATGGTGGTCGCCTTTCAGAGGACGGTCAAAATCGGGATAGTACTTGAGCCCAAGTACGGGTGACATTCATTCAGCAGCCCCCTTTCAGCCAAAATTACACGACGATAAGCGAATGCATTCTTCGTTCGCTGGTTTTGGAAAATTTCTACCTTATCAATGTATCACAACTGTGGAGTGGTTTTCTTCGCATAGAGCCATTGTTTACACAAATCGCGTGGTTTGGTAAAGACAATTCAGCGTCCAATCATATTCCCTCGAGCACTAAGTTTATGTACCACCATCGATAGACTCTCCCGCTAAGAGCATCTCACACTCTCTGATAACATCAAACGAAAACACATAGTCATTGATATCATCCGTGGTGTTAAGTGTTTTTCCGTCCGGAAGATACTTAGCAGCCTCATCGCGAGTAGCCTGCGATGCAGGTGGACTATGATTAGAAAGGATCTGCAGAGACGAGCCTCTGTTTTTTCTAACCTTTTCGTATAGTTGTAGTCGCTTCTCCAGTGTTTCTTTATCGGCGGGATCAATTTGATTCAATAATATTCCGAGTGCGCCTGCATCTTCGATGGCTTGGCATCCCCCTTGTGCTTGAACTAAGGTTGAATGTTAGGAAACGTAGGACGAGAGGGGTTGTTCGGATTTTTAAAACTTACACGGAAGCATAGGATGAGCAGCATCGCCTATCAAAACGAGTCTGTCCTTGTGCCATGTCGGAATTGGTTCTCGAGCAATCAATTTCCAAAATTTAACGTCTTGTGCCTTCCTTTACTTTATGTGAGAAACTAATCAAGGCACATATAGCCATTGGAAACCAGACTTACCCAATCACAGCTTGCAAAGCGGGACTAAATTCAGGCTTCGCATATTTCATCGGAACACTTGGCTCTACAGACGCTCTGAAACCTAATACCCATTTTCAGCGTCATACAAAAAGGTTAATGCGGGATTTATACTTTCTGTGGCATGGGAACTATCAAATGCCTTTGACAAATACAAGAAATTCTGCACCTCGTTGCTAATTCGTGATTTGGTCAGCCCAAAATATCATAGAAACCGCCCACAGAATGCTTACTCCCTACAAGGATACCATACGAAACCGCCCACACCGGAAGCTGGTGCGAAGAATCTCTGAACAGAATCGTCGACCAGATCAGCCGTCTCGGGATCTGATAACAGGTCTTGTGTGGGCACTAGCCATCGCATACAAGACCATCCAGTATCGCCTGCTTGGACCTTATTTGCACCAAGCACGTGGTCCACAGCTGTTGAGTGCACCCCATCTGCTGCGACGATGAGATCTGCTTGTAAGATCTTTCCATCTTCAAGAGTAACTTTCCCATTCGCAGCATCCTATAATACAAACCATCATTAAAATCCGAGACCAAAACAGATCACGTTGTCGCTAATACTCACATAACCAATTATCTTCGCCCTAACCTTCAAATCAACCGGAATCCCCTCTCCACCTTTCCTCGTCGCTATCTCTCTCAACTGACTGTGCAAATCAACCCGATGAGCCGCATACAGCGGGGTCCCATACTTCTCCTCGGTATTCGCATAATAACCATTAACCACAACTTTCATGGCCATACCATCCCAAATATTTGCGTTCCTGAGAGCTACCAGTTTCGATTTCGTAGGCGAGAAACCCCATGTTTTAAGTATGCGTGACGCATTTGGGGCTACCGTTATAGCAGCACCTATTTCGTGAAGAAGGGAAGATTGTTCGAGTATCTTAGGCCATGTTAGTATTTCTATATTGTGGGTATCAGACAATATATAATCTGGCCGATGAAAAATGATATAGTGAGTGGAGAACAAACAGTAACTTTATGTCCACCTCTCCGTAGAGCAATCCCAGCACCAAGACCAGCGATTCCCGCGCCTACAATTATGATTTCCATAATTTTAATAAATCCTAGTTCTTTTGTAGTGATGATGATACCAGGTAGCTCATGACATGTCGTCCTTTATGTATCATCGAATTGACTTGCGCTTACACGTTTCATATATTCAGCACGGCTGATGAGCTGAAAGCCATTGTATGACAATCCGTGCGAGATGCCTTAGTTAATTTCGTAATCAGCGAAAGTAACTCGGACTAGTGTAGAAATACTCCGATAGCAATAGATGAGAATGAGTTGTCATGAGTGGTAAAAACTACGTATCAGAAAAAGAAAATCTTCGGACATCGATCGATTGATCGGGAGTCCGAACAGTGATTCAAATGGACTTATTGATGACATGCATTATCAGCTGAAGTGATCAATGCGTAGATCAGCAAGACTAGCCAATCACATGTGTAGTTTTCACATAGATCAGTAGTAGGCATTGTATCTTGAAGGGCTGAGTGCTCCACTACCCCAGAGTCGTAAAGATTATTTCAGATTTCTGTGCCAGTATCTTAAATGCAGGCCACAACATGTAATGTGAGAAGTACACTTTGCGTAAGATGACGGAAGAATTCATGGAACAACCACAAATGGACAAATAACACGGGCTCTAGAGAATAGCAATATAAACATCAGTTAGTCCTCACCATCATTATAACCGCGCTCGATTTGTAGAGAATTTGTGCTAGTTTGTAACCATGAGACATGATTCGATATCTATTATCTATTAATCCATCATAAGAGGTCGTATCTCCATACCATATACATCTATTGTGATTCCCCCAGCCCTAAAAGAACGCAGACCACCCAATATACATAGCCGTCAATCTTCTTGGATCTGTGGCTTGCTTAATTAATTCATCAACATAACCCTCCACACTGAGTGGCACACTTTCCCCAGGTAAAAGTCCCTTCACCTTTCTCTGAATAACATCCAACACCTTCTGCGCACTCAGCATCCCTTCATTCGCTATCTCCCTCTTCTTTTTATCAACTTTTTTCATGAGATCTAGTGTTGGATCATAAATGAAAGCTTCAAGAATCGTCATCAAAGTTTCTTCATGCTGGCGTAGTAGCTTTATCGTGAGTTCCGAGGATTTGCGGAAGGGCCCTTCGTAGCCGTACATACCCATTGCGTCAACCATGTTATGAGTCAAGCGAAATGGGACTTGTTCTGGTTTTGCAAAAGTTTTACCTTTTTCAAAGAGACAATTGAAATCTACGTGAAAGGTTCCTCCGTTGCCTTCCTCGAAAAGTATGTTTTCCGTATGGCGATCTCCTAGACCTAGAATTGTGCCAACCATAGACATAACAGCACATGACCGAGTATAGCGTAGTCTAGCAGCAAACCAGGCTGAGGGCTCGGGAAATTGCTTGACAAACCATTTGTGAAATACAGGTTTAAACTCGCCAAGAACCTTTTCGGTGAAGAATGGGAGTTGCTTCTCGCTTTTCATTGCTTCCTCGCAATACATACCAAGTTCCGTATAATTGATTCGTTTCCCCTGCGCTCCGTATAGATCCGTAAGTATTTTGCGAAGTGTTTGAAGTCCTTCTATCCATTCTATGATCCCACATTCCTCATTCAAAGGTGTTACAGCATATGTCTTGACATACAATTGGCGTCTACTTGATTCCGCATCACGCTTTAGAGATCTATTCATCATGCCATTGAATTCTTGAAGACGCTGATCCATACGAAGGTCATCTTTCGGTTTGAAGAGGAGACCATAGTGTTGCCCATTCGAGGCCAGAGCTCTCACTCGCTTGGGTTTCGCCAAAGAATTTAACACCAGAACGTCATCTTCAAAAGAATTGATCGTTATGACATCGCGAGAGAAAGCTTTATGTGTTACCACCTTATCTGTGAGAGTTGGCAGGCTCGCTGTCAAAGCGGCTTCCACTGGGCAAGCAAGGGAACTTGGTAAAACCTTGTGCTTAAATTGTAGATCTTTAGATAAACTCGATCTGAAAACCCTAGATTCTTTGAAGTCTCCGGCTTCGCAAAGCCTTAAAATCTCAGCAGTAAGGGCTTGTCCGTTTCTGATTAAAGCCCTGATATCTATGGAATTGTGATCGGCCTTCACAGAAACGCTTGGCAATTTTGCGAGTAATTCCATTCCTTTAGTTCGACGATCCAGTTGCGTTGAAGTACTTAAAGCCAACACACTCCAAAGTGATTGTTGGGGATGTGCTGATACAACTTTTAGCATAATCAACTGAAGAAAGTGATTCACCTCCTTGTGTGGATGGGTAATTCTAGATACAACCTGTGGCAAAGCTGTATAGAATATGTAGGCCGGCATTTTGGAGATGTATTTTTTGAATCGAATGTGAAGATCATCCAATGTTTTCTTTCGCAATTGAGTCATCTTGCTGACAAATTCTTGAGAATGACGCTTTGGATCAATTTTTTGACTGAGCTGCGTTCCAAGATCCAACCAGAGTGTCAATATACGAGGCAGAGTTTGGTGAACATACTTGGTACCGTGAGCTAACGAGCGTAAGTAGTTTGAAATGACTAGCGACGCGGTCTCTCCAGAAAGATAGCTTTCATCTTGTCTTTCGAATGGTAGGTTACTGGATGATTCCAATAACTTATTATAGTGACGTCCCAGATAATAATGACCCTTCTCCCATGCATTATGGGTCTTTGCAGCTAATTGATATTGGGCCCGTAGGGCGGATGAGTTTGTTTGGCCAGCAAGATCAAGCCACTTTGCAAGCAGAAGATGAGCCCTTGCTTCGAGGAGATTCTGCTGCTGTTTCCGATGTGTATTGTCAGCACTTCCTAGAGATGCCTTGTTTATCTCATTGTGAGATATGAAAGCATTACTTTCAATTGCGCCCTGAAGACTTTGAATCGCTTTTCGATGCTGTTCTTCTTTCCATAAAAGTCGTGCATGTTCTATTTTGGCCGAATCATCACCGAGCTGTGAGGCATGGAGTACAGCGTTGAAAGATTGATGAATTGCATTTCCTTTTCTAGCCAGGCGCGCGCTAGTCAACCAGGCAGAAGCGAGATCTCCTTTCGTAAATTCAAGACTGTGTGAAAGTCAGATGCGCTGTTGCAAAGGTAAAAAAGTTGAGCGAGGTTAATATGTAACTTACCTAGATAATTGCATGGCGGCTCTTCTTATGCCCAATAAATATTGCTTGTCATTTAAATAGCCGCCAATTGTTTCAAGACGGCGGTCGAGTGATTCAAGCAGCTCTTCCCTTGGTATGGGTTCAGTGTAATCGACACCAGAAATCATTTCTAATTCGGTAAGCACATGGAGCTTTAGCATGGGATCGTGGCAAGATCCAATCGACGATGTAGTAGCTCTCGATAAGGAGCAAGTAATTTGCTTTCTGAGATCCTCAATGGTTGAAACAAATCTCGTCGTCTCTTTCTCGTGTAAAGCTAGCAATGCTTTGCCAATGCTGACGTTAAAGTCTTCTTCTAAGTCCCGACCAGCAATTGACGTATATTTTTGCAAGGCAGCCCACCTCCCTGTTGCCCACGAAGCCTCTGTGGCAAAGGGCAATAGCTTTCCTACTGTTTTGGTGGCAGTATGCATACCTTCGACATAATTAAGTAAAACATCTATGACTAGTCAGCAGTAGTCAAGAGGAGCAAGCGTTATTTAAGATTACCATGTTGCCCAGACTCCTTCAAGCATGTAAGAAGATTCAGCTGAACATCAACATCTTCAGGATCTTCTGCAAGCTTAATCTCATACCACCCTTGGGCAGCTGTCCAGCGTCCTGCTTTGCGATGGCCGAGAACTATCTGGTCAATATCCAACACATGTAGATGTGCCGATATTCCTTCAATACCATCAGGCTCATCTATCTGGGTGTATATCTCCTGCAATCGCTCTAAATCTGAAATCTCTCTCGAAGCATCCTGCTTCTTCGTTTCACGAACATGGCGGATGTGCTGTTCCCAATTGAACAAAGCTCTGGAGTATGACTTACACTGTATAGCCCGAGCTGAAACGATTTCAGCAGGAATACTTTCGATAAGCCTGGTAACTTTTTCAATTTGCTCCGGGCCACCAGGAATGCCAGCTCGTATTTCTCGATGTACTATCGTCTGCTTCGCTTGTATCCAGCGGGAAAGATAATCTAGGACTCGAAAAACAGCCTATGGTCATTACGTTAAGAATTGAAGCTGGATTGAGATAATGGCGTCACTTACTTCGCTGCATAGCCTTAATTCCTCTTGCTTAACATGTGATGTTGAAGTCGGCTGGTACTCTAAAATTCCAAGCAATTCTGCACCAATGTTTCCTCTCTCTTGGTCGTCTCCTTCTATAACTATATGTAAAATTAAGTATGGCAAGAGAAAACTTGCAACAGAGAGGTCTTTGATTCGGATAGCTCGACACAAAGGAGGAAAGATCAATTCTGCGTTGGGGTTTTTCGGTTTCTGTAAAAGATCAAGAACGAATGTTTTCAGCCAATTATTGTACTTATTGATCCTGTTGGGCTGAGAACTGTCGGGCCGAAATATGGGATATGTGGTAGTTGGAACTTCCATTTTCAATACCGAGAACATAGAGCTGAGGAAAGGTGTAAGGGTTGCCTGGACACTTTCTGAAAGAGACTCCCACTTTTTGCAAAGGGGATTGTTCGGATCCTTATGGGCACCTCTCAAAGTCGGTGCGCAAACGTCTGCGAACCCACCCTTCGACAATAATTCCTGCATAACAAAAGATAAAAATCCCTGTAAGGTTGTATCGGTCGCAGATAAAAATGCCTTGATGATAACCTCTTCTAAGAGGAATAGAAGAAAATCTGTAGTTTCCTCAGGGTCATGAAAATTCATGACAACCACCATTTCTCGTTGATCCCTAACGGCTTCAACCCTGTTGGGATCAAGGCAGCCTATCAACCCGATACATTCTCCCGAAAGCTTAGCAATATCGTTATGAGATTCGTTGAACTTAACACATGCATCCAAGATTGACCGCACAAGCTTACCAATAACCACGTCAGGCTGTTCACTCACAGCTGACGCCTGA